GGTGGAATGACGTCATTCTCACTAAAAGGGTTGTTTTGCGGACAACATGAAGTAGAGGGGCTGATTTGCCAGTGTTTCTAGTACAGGGGCTGATCTCCCACAACATTGCAGGTAGGGGGGCTGAATTGCACCTTCTACCCTTAAGAAATTGAAATACATATGTAAAGATGATTTCCTTTACATATATATATATATATAATAAACTTGAGTATCTGATGTTTGGCTAGCTAGATAAATTTTCGTTATTTATAAATTATCTTGTTTATAAGTATATACAAAATTTTATCTTTAAAGTTGTCATTACTCATCACTAACGTTTATATCTCAATTTAGTTTTCATACTTTTTATTGTAAAAAGTTATTCTAATTTAGTTGTTTAAATTTTTATAAAAAATTGTTCTAATTTCTCATAAAAATTGGTTTTAATATAATTATTTTAAGAGAAATGATATATTTACCCCATTGACCGGCACATTTAGTTGCACACCTTCAGTTCAATAAATAAAATATGGTACTTTAATAGGGTTTCTCAAGGATTAAAGGCTTATTCCTCGTTTATTTGAGTCTATCGTCTAATATCCATTTGCTCTTTGAAAATTCTTTGCGAACCCAATTTTGACACCTCTAAATTCAATAGACTCCAACACTTACCCGTCCCCCAATCTTTTCACAAAACCTAGATTAGAATTGGGTTTACTACAGGAGAAGACATCTTCTACAGCATAAAACTCAGATTACGATCTGGGTTTCACATTTCTTTCTAGCTAATTTTCCCCTTCTACGGTGATTACTCCATCTCTAGTCAAGATAATTTCTCAATTTTGTTCACAACAATTAGCATATTATAAATCTCAACCAAAACCCAAATTTTAGAACAAAGTGTGGAAATTTTTATATGAGTTGTTACTAATTGTATTTGGTCTTCAAAATTGAGTCAAATGAAAAACCGACAAAATCTAATAAAATGATATGATCTAAATGGGTTTAGGTTTTATCTCAATTCTACATTATGTGATATGCATAGATGTGGGGCCTGAAAATAAAAATGAGTTACTTGATGGGATGCCTAAGAGGTTATTATAATGAGTTAGGTCCCCTCAACCATTCAGAAAACCCTACTTCTATAAATAAGAGATTTAGGGAGCGGTATAATCTATTGATTGTTACTATATAAAAGTTGAATAGGGAAAAAAGACCTAAATCCCAATATAAACTATATATGTTTTTGTAGGTTTGTCATGAGATATTCTTAAAGATCATTCAAGATTTTTAGATAATATATTGATTATCAAAATTTAAGCACATAATTTATTTATTTTATTAAATCTTGATATCTTAAATTCTATGTATATCAATTTTTAAAATTTTAACGTGATTCATGCACCCATCAACTCAACCCCGGACGGATGCATACTCTATAAAATATATTTTCTTAAATTCTTAATCCTGCAGTCATTCACAGATTTTTGGTTTATTTATACCTCCAAACAAAATGCAATCATAAACCTTAGCCAAAGAATCACAATCAGTTCAACTAAAAGATGAACAAGGCAAGATTATAATTCTAATTTGTTCATATTTATTGTGCAAAACTACCACAAAATTTCAATCTCTTCCACAATTTCTTTAGTTTTTTCAGAAACTAATCAATTAACACCACAAAACAATTCTAATTGATCATTTCGAAGCAAACCCAGATTTTAATTACCTGCAAATGAAATTAATTAACAAATTTTTTATAATAATCTATGAATTTCACTAAAAACCAAATCACAGCTGTCGTATAGCATCAATGAGTCCCTGTGGAAGCTTCTCGACAATTGCAATGTCCAATGGAGCAGATACAAATGCAAGAACTTCACTTGTACCAAAAAGGGTTTCTTCATATGCGCTGATTGCTTCAATCTTTCAGATCACGAATTGCCTTGATGGATCAAGCAACGGAATCTGGACCCAGAAACAAACCAAACAGTAGATTTTCTTATCCCTGACGTGCTTGAAATCAAACCGGGGAAAATCAGAATTGGGTTGGATTTCAACGTCGGAACAGGAACATGGGTTGCAACAATTGATTTGCAAGCCTAAGATCTACAAAAGAATCAACAACTAATGAGAGAAAAGATTTCAGAGAATCATCCAACATCATCGGCAACCACGCCGGACAAAGTGGAGTACGATTTTTTACTACTGATTTTGCTTGGATCTTTAGACTAAATGGAAATCGAGGAAGGGGGCGAGAAAGAGAGGGAGAATGAAGAAGAAGAAGCACAAGGAAGGAGCAGATGGTTTTGATCGTTGACGAAGGAGATGGTTTGCAATGAAGCCAACAAGTCTAAGAAGGGGTGGAGAGAAGAATACAATTAGGTGGCGATTGGATTGCGGATGCCTAAATTCCACACCTGATTTTGTGGGTCTCCTTCATAGCTGGAGATCCTTGCTCTGTGATCTGGGTTTTGAACACCTCCCGGACTCCCCCGATTTCCTTTACGGTTGCATCTCAAGGTGTTTCATAGATGGGTAATCTGGGTAAAGACTGCAATGTCTGATCTCACCGATTCATGTGTTTATAGTGGGTGATTTGTGCTGGATAAGCGAGAGATAAGCCTATGGAGAGATTATTTGGTTTTATTTTTTGAACCAATTGTGAGTGAGGGAGGGTGTGGGTTCCGAGGGTAATTATATCACCGTCCATTTTTTTAATAATATTTAGTTGCGTGGTTGGCGAATTAAAAAGCATGCGCTTTGATTTCATAATTTGGTGGTGTTTGATTGATAAAATTAGCAAGTTTCTAAAAGTCGGTGGAATATGAATAATAGGTTGAAATCATAATTTTTACTCATAAACAGGATTGAAACTACCATGCTATCAAATGTGTTTTCTATCTTTAAAGAATGGTTGAAAATTCTAGAAAATTTTTATTTATGGTCAGTTGACTGTTTTTATGACATTAATCACTCATATGGTGTCTTTTAATTGTTTTCAGATTGTATTAGTGTTTATTAGATTAGAATCATAATTCAGTTTTTAATATGGTGATTAATCATGTTTAATTGGATTAAATTTAAAATTGACCTCTGTTTTGAGAGTTAAAACACTAGTTGTGTTGTCAAATATTATTATTATAAATTCATGGAGTATGACTTAATTCTACTTAAAATTAGAAGAATTTCCTCTAATCCTAAAGTTTTTTTTTTGGAAACAACCAGTTTATGATTATTGCTAAGAATTCTGCCATTTGATGTGACTATGGTTTTAAGTATTCACATAATTGAGAGCACTTGTTAAATCAATCCGTGTGAGTTAAGATTGATGTTTTAAAGCCTTGGTTTAATTAATATGTAAAAGTTGAAAAAATTAACCTTAATCGGATTTTATTTAAGGTCAAACCTTAATATTATTGAATCCATTGATTCTAGTTGTGATTACATATGTGGAGATCAATTAAAAAGATTTGTGGGGATTGAGGAATGGTTCATTGGTTTGGTGGTAAAACTGGGCAGTTGCCAATTCAATCAAAATCTAGTTTTATGGAGATAATAAATGGGAAAATTGTTATTTGGTCCCTTAGTAATTTTATTTAGTGCAAATCTATCCCTAGTGGTCTAATAAGGTTACAAATTAATGTTTAGATATTAAATTTAAGATTAATTAATATTTAATCATTTTCTCTTTCTCATATTTAAAATAATTTTCATGAATAATTATGTGATATGAAGGTTAATTTAGTTAAATTCTTTTGGATTTATGAATTTATATTATGATATTTTTTTATTATTTAATTGCTTATT